TAACAGTATTTTCATATCATGTGGAGAAGCTTGTGCCTCGATTATCTATCTCTGACACCTCTATAAACGTCTGCTCTGGTGTGGCAATGAAAAACCTCCTCCCGGCCTTTAGTACATAAATATGCAGCATGGCTTTCACACAAACAAAAAATTATACTTTAGAAGACAAATATAATAATTAAGCCTCATATGCACAAAAGGCAAAACACAGGTCATTTTTTAACTGAAATTCAAGCGTACGTTGCATTAAAATGAGTTTTAATTTCAATTTTGTCTAAGCTGATTCTGTTTATTTCTCTTATGACCTAAGTACTTTTTCAAATGTAAATATATATGTGCCTTTCCACTGTACAATTCCATTACACACAAAAATGTGCAGTTCCATAAAACCTTCATCCATAAAACTTGTGTAACTTAAAGGGAAACCAGCACCATTACCTGTGTGCAGTGATTGATTTCATCCCCTACAATCTTAAACATTTTTAGCACGTGTGACCCTGAAGAAAGTAAAAAAAGACCTTGACCATCATATTTAAAGTGTCTCTGATATGATAAAAAGCAGACACAAATGATTTTTATTACAATCAATTTCATATTCCATCTCTATTAAGATACCATATAAATTCCTGTTGTAAGTCGAACATGGACCATTTTCTTTCCCTCACACAAACGGTCAACACTGCTGCTATTTTGTTTGGCAATCTTTGGCATTTGTAAACATGATTTGGTGAAATGCCAGTGCTGTCACGTTTATTTATTTATTTATTTTATTACTTCTTTAACCTTTCACACTGGACACTCACTAGAAGTTGAGAAGGCAGTTTAACAGTGTTGCTTGGAAAACAAATAAAACACTAGTGTGTTCTGGCATTCTCCACATCTCGCAGTTAGAAACAGGAGGGTGTTTTGGATGGGATGAGCTTGATTCCTGTAATTAGAGACTGTAGAATCCTCATCGACGCTGCTGTTTTAATCTCCCCAGCAATGATACCGATAACTTTCCAATAAATTATACACTTCTGAAGAATGCTCTCAAAACAATGTGTAGTTAAATCTGGAAAAATCTGGTAACTGAAGGGACATGTAGCCGCATTCCTCACCAGGACCAGTTCAGCTTTATTAAACAACTGACATTCCACTACAGACTCTGAAACAGCCCTCACAAGTGATATGATCCAAAAACCAAATCCAAAACTGGTCAAGTAGGCTGTCGTTTTCGACTGGCGCTTGTCTACCTGCTGGCTTGAAACAAAATGGTGTCGTGTCAGTAGGGGATGGCCAGCTCAGCCCTTTCAATGGCGGTCCTGTTGAAGAGCAGCGGAAAGAAATCCACGGCTCCAGTCTGAGGATGAGCTAATCCTGTTTGCATGGTTTGTCTGGGAGGTGACAAAGGACTGAGCGGAGGTGGGCCAGGGAACTTTGATATCCCAAAACAACAGGGTTCAACCATTGTGGTTTCTGTACCAGTTAGTGAGATCTGTAGCCTGAAGCCGCTTTTTAAAATGCGGTCAGTTTCTGATGTACTGAGTCTGGATTTCCTCCGAAGATACTGAAGAAGCCTTTACAGCATCATGGGGCCCAGACTAATTAAAAGTCTAATACTATTATCTGTTTGTTAAAAGACAGATTGACTCACAACTCAGCAGCAGAGGAATCTGGGGAAGACCTCTGTGCAATTAGGATCGATGCTGTAAATACAAAGAATGCAGCAGTTCATCCTTCATAATATCACCAGTGGACCGGTCAAAACATCAAAACAATATTCAGTAAATGAATGACACTGCCTATCAGGCAGGCAGCTAGACGGACACACCCATATAAAACCATCTACCAGTTAATCCAACACTCACACATACGCCATGTTTAGCAGCAATACAGGAGGCCTATACGATAACATGACCATTTGTGCCACAACTGTTCTGCTGGTCCTCACAACTCGCTTGTTGACAGGCTGATAGACAGAGAGAGGCATGTGGCGTTTGTCTGCCTCCTCCAGCACCACTTGCCACTGTGTGTGTGCACGCATATGTAACATATATTACAAGTCTGTATGTTTGCGTATCCAGCCATCTTGATGCCCGCCTGCCCGTGCAGGTGTGTGTGTATATGTTGCTGAGGACCAGAGGATGGAGCTTGTAGGGTGCAGGGTGTCTACAGCGGACTGGTCATATCGTTCCAGCATAGGATCAGTCCTGCACACTTTGTCTGCAGCAGGAGCTGAGTTTTAGTAACACATTTCTGTATTTGATTGCTGCATATGTATGTGTACAGGCTCTCTCTGTGACTAGAACAACAGTTTTGTTGGGAATATTTTCAGTTTGTCAGATTTTAAATGTTAATATAAAGATGTTAAAATTTCTTCACTGTAAATTCCAAGTCCACAGTAAAAGAGGCAGCGTGATACTCCGTGTACTCTCAAACCAAAAGTATCAGGTAGGTATAAATGTCTTTTATGATTTTTATTTATTTATTTTTCTTCTTTTATATCCTTTCTTTTTCTTTTATTTCTTTTTTGTATGGACCTTGAGTCTGCTAATAAAGGATGATGATGATGATGATGATATCTCTATGCATGAAAAACGTAGGACAGGCAAAGGTTATTATTTATACTTACCAAATCAAAAATAAATAAAATTCCGTCTGCTTTTAGTTTTTGCATCATTTTTCCTGAGAACAACTTCCTAGTACTTAAAGATTCAGTAACTGTTGTATGTAACCTATTAATAATTGATTTATGTATTCATTGAACGATTGGGTGTGAGAGAGACAAACTATGTAACGATGTAACCTACGCTGTAGTTTATGTCTCGATGAACCTGAACATGTGCTGGTCTTTTTATCTGTTGATACAGACGATACACACCGATGTGTGTATTTGTCGATACACATCTTTGACCTTATTTCAGGGCTGATTGAATATTTGTGGCACTTCAGGCTAAAAATAATGGCTTTAAATTAGAATGCTTGTTTTTTTCCCCAAACTTTAAAAACACTGGTTCTTCTTTTGTTTGTGCCACAGAGAGCCAGAAAGCCCCACACCGCTCCTTTTCTGATCCTGGGTCAGCCTACTTATTCTGGAAACCTAAAGATCACACAACCCCACACACAGCTTGTTTTAGGTGGATATGGTTGTGTGGGTTTCGATACTGTACATCCACACAGCAGCAGTGGCTCTGTTTATTACCTTCATTTGCATGTAAATTAAAGCTGCTTCGTAGCCGTCGGGCTGCTGTGTGGTCACCGTCTATGCTCTGCAGTCCCTCTGCTTCACGTGAACAGACACAGGCCACTGCTACACACACACACACACACACACACACACAGTCCTGTGGTGGTAGGGAAATGTTAATTTGTCTAATTGTTTTGAAATTTGCATCACATTCTGCAATCTGACATACATGCACACACTATCTTTTTATTATGCAATTATGCATGAATAGAATGAACGAGCCAGACTGAGACGCGATTAAATTATTTTTTCCTTTTGCTCTTTGTCTACTGGATTATTAAATTGGCCACGTATATGACAAACCTCTCCTTCTGTCCCCTACACGTCTGAGGTCAGCGATGTAGTGGAAGGCAGCATGTAGAGGCCTGTCACAACATTTACCTCTGAATTTGACAAAGTGATCTCGGTCTACTATTGACCCAAGTGTTTCTTTTATAGGAGGGGAAAGCTTTCTTTGGAAGGGCTCCTGAGTGATTATAGAAGAGAATTCTTCTTAAACAGGACACTCCATATGACACACGGCTGCCAAGCTGAAGAAAATAGCTGGAACTTGGTCTGAGTTGGAGTAAATTGCAGTAATGACTCACTCACGTGTTACAATAGGTGCAGGGCACTTCTCTGTTCCTGATTTTAAACTACCAACATGGGAAGGAACTCCTCCTTTCCTTTCTTTTATGCATATTAAAAATCATATCTATCTTTCCCCCTCAGTAAACAACGACCTACTCATTTTGTAATTTAGATTTTTGAGAGGACGACAACAAACTGAACTATTTAGCTGGAGGCAGCTGTTTGACAATTTCACAAATGCAGGTCTTACACTGGTCCAATCTCACCATAAACTAAAATGATTACAGTGTTGTGTGGATAGTTGCTTCTAATTTAAACCACTGAAGCTTATTTTGTCAGTGTATTTTTGGTTACCTTGTTTTTACTAAGTAAAACACCAAAGCCTCCAAACATCCATATTTTAAATGAAGATTTTTTCCCTTGACATTTTTGCTAAAGTAACAAAAACAAGGTAATTAATGTCAGATTGTGTGGACCCTATTACAGGGTTTTAAATAACTGCAGGCTCTAAGCCACACTTTGCTGTTATTTTGCAAAGGCCTGTAAGAAGGACAGTGTCAATTTACATGTTTTCTGACCAGGTTTCGACTAATAGTTGTGATTTTTAATGGAAAGTTGAATTTTCTTTAGCAGTATCTGATAATACGAATGACCAAATGATATAATAAATGTTGGACATACTGAATGAAAGGAATGGAGAAAAGAACAAGTGTGATGTCTTCTCACGTGTTTGTTACTAAAATACCGTTATTTTTTAAAATATAAACCCACTTTTGGTTTGTTTCTTTTTCATCCAACGTGTCTCAGTGGCATCGTGCTGGGAGCTGGCTCACCTTCTCCTGCAGCGACCACAGTTCTACATTTTTGTTTCAGGCCCACAGAGGGTTTGCTGATGAAATGTGTGAACACAGAGAGACGGAGAGGCAATTTCATGCTCTGCAACGCTTTGAACGGCACTGATGGCAGCGCATCTCACAGTGTAAATTCAGCTCCTTTCCAAAGGCCTATGAATATGGATCCAGTTGTCCCACTCACTTGAACCAATGAGCTGCGACCCCCACCCCCACACACACACACAAACATCTCTGTTTAGTAATTGTAAATTCGGTGTCACTTGGGGAAAAAACTGTTTTTTTCTTTTTCCAATATAAAAGTGTTTATTTGGAAACATGGTGTAAATGTACATAATTTATTCCAGCCGTGCTTTTTCCTGGGGAGTCGCCGACATAGATCTCATACAGGCTGATGCTGTGTGATATGTGCCCGCAGGCCGACAGGTCTCTGCAGCTTCACCTGTCACAATGAGACAACACCAGAGGAAATCAGGTGCCGAGGGGCCAAATCCGTCTGTGATTTGGCATATATACAGTAACCTATAAAGCCTCTGTGTATATATCCTCGGTAAGAACTGTAGTAATTCTGTAGTCAGTAAAAATGTCAGGTTATAGAAAACAACAATACAAACTAATTCTGGAAAGATGCTAAAAGGGTGATATCACTTTAAAATCACAAGTCTATTTAGTAGCACACAACCAGAATCCATATGACAGCTCTTATTAGTGTGAGGCCTGAAACAACATGGGCTTGTCTTGACCTGTGCGTTTGCCTTGTAGCATAGTTAGAACAGAACATCTCTCACATTATAGGAACAATGAGCAGAATCATTACAACGTTAAGATGAATTAGGAGGACTTAGTGTAGTGTTTGTGGTGATGGCCAGCACCATATGCAACGCTAGCCCCCACTAAATATTTAGATTGTTCACATTTTATTTATCTTTTGAATTACGTATAGCCTTTGTATTTTCTGTATGAAACATTTTCTGCATTGTGTCAAAGCTCCTTTCACACTTCCATGTGTGGGACTCTGGTGGGAGAATACAGAGTCATTCATTTACTTCATTTATTTAGTTGCCTGTGTATTGTCAAAGTGAAAAATAACACAATATTTGTACACTATTGCTGAAGCCATTTCCTGTGGCTGGGAAGTGATTTTAAAGTAAAACCATGATTCTGTGTTTCCACGGTGTCATCACGTGCTTCGTAGCTGTAACATCTCTGTAACAATCGACCATAGGATTAATACAGTTCTTAGTTGGTCCAGAAGAACAACAGCCCAAACAAAAGTATTCTGAAACCGGTGTGTGCAGGTGTCTGTGGCTGAGCACAGCCAGGACACCGCGAGCTGCAGGGACGTGAACTAAAACTGCGCACAGATCAGCTCGCGGTGTCTTATCGTGGCTGTGGAATGGAGATGATTCGTCTGTTTGTCTGTGAAGGTTTCCAGGCTGTTCTCCAAAATCTTTGGTTTTGTGGTGGCACGTCAATCCGAGTCTTACGTCTCTTTTTCTGTTCTGCTCTTTAGTCACTTCTGAAGAGGAGGAGAACGAGATGGACAGAAGTTGTGAAGAAGCGCCGCTCAGCTCTCCCTCCCCAGCCTCCTAGTTAAATTAGATATATAGGCCTATTTACACGTAGGCTACAGGGTGTGTGGAGGACAGCGCTGCAGACAGTCCCGTCTCCTCCGCGGTGGGCCGGGCTCCTCAGTCGCTGTCCTCCTTGTCCTCCTGGATGGTGGTGGTGGAATGGTTGTACAGTCCCTGCGCCATCAGCTGCAGCGCCAGCCCGTTCTTGAAGCCGCTGGCCTTTTTGATCTTGGCCCGCTTGTTCTGAAACCAGATCTTGATCTGGGATTCGTTGAGGTTGAGCTCTTGGGCCAGAGACTGCCTCCGCTGCTCCGTGATGTAGCGGTTCACCTGAAACTCCGTCTTCAGTCTCTGCAGCTGCTCGGCTGTGAAGGCTGTGCGCGGTCGCTTGTCCTCTTTGCCGCTTTTGGACTTTTTCAGTTTCCGTGTCCTTGGGCCTGCAGTAAGGGCGAAAGGACGGGAGCGGAAATATGAATATCCAGCGCATTGCTGATCACCTGTCAGGCTACTGGTATACTTTAACATATCACACCTGGTTAGGCAGTAACGACAACCCCTACACAACAACAACAACAACAACAAATGATCACAGTTAGGCCCGTGACTTCATTTTACTACGAGCTCTTAGCCTGTTAAAATAATAATAATAATAATAATAATGCGTGATTGCCTTGTTAGTTCAACAGTAGTCGGGCTATCACAGCTCCTCTCTGTGTAGTGATGTGTACTGAACTGCATGTGCTGCTCAGACTGGGAGCTCCGGACCCCGTGGATGTCCAGGCTACAGGGGCCCGAACCTCTGTGTGACACACTGGTCCACACCGTGCACACAGGTTGTCATGCAACAATCCCCGCGCACACTACATGCGCTAGTTTCAGTGTGAATCAGACCACTGGTGATCTGTGCGCAACGCAGAGGAGCCCCTGAACGGAAAATAAACCAAAAGCGCGCCGCCCCCGTGCACATGTATGGATCTTCTTAAAAATATATGTATAGATATAATATTTTTTAATTTCCATTCTGGGTAAGTGGTGTAAATAATAACTGAAAATTAAAACAATAGTCACTGAACGAAGTTTAATTTGTAAATACGCCACATACATAAATAATGTCTGGAAATCCACACGTCACACTGGATTTGGGAATTAAATGGCTAAATTATTAAAGTTACTCAAATAGAATTAAACTGTGGTTTTTATTTTTATGGTTCCACACGAGCCTGTGTTTGTTTATAGCCTAACAAAAATATATTAGACTACTTGACTTAGGAATGAAGAAAACGTGTCTAAATCAAATCTGAAGTCACCCGATAGGCATGTTTTAATACCACACAGGAGGACATCTAAGAAATGGCTGGTAGAGTAAATGAAGGCTTTCCAGGGGAATGCCTTTCTATCCTCCCCAGGTTTTTGGTAACAAGTGATTTCGGATGAAGTTGGGCCCAAATAAACAGATAATGAATTCAAAATGTCTTCTGTGTGGAGGCGGGGGGCTGTCGGATAGTATTTAGGCCTACCTTTAATTCCATTGTGTTTTATTCCGCCATGCTCCCGCACTGACAGCAGCTCGTCCGTGGATTCCTCCTCGGCAGGCTCACGGAGGACGAGCCTCGACACTGAGATACACGAGGAATCGAACTTTTACCGACAGAAAGTGTCCGCTGTCGCTGCTGAACGGCGCGTTTATGGCTGCGCACTGCAAATGTATGAGCAGGGCTTTTTGTGGAGTGTGCAGTAAATCACAGCACTGAATAACACCTGCAGGGCCACCTTCAGCGGTGTGTTGATCATTTCTAAAAACTATTTAAAATCTTTGTTCTACTTGCAACCGACAACATAATGTTGTTCTTTTCAAATACAGCGGATCCTGTTAAAAGACGTGTTAGAAATTGAGAGAAAAGGCAGAAAAGCCTAGAAACGGATGTTTTACTCTGCGGCTCCAGTGTTGATGTTGTTGTTTAAAGGTTGATAAAATCAAATGTACATAATAATAATGTAAATAATAAACTATATCGCCCTTTTTGGTTTGAGTTAAATCGTTGTTGGTGGTAATGATGGAGTCTGATAGCTGGAATTAATACCTACCTCTATGTCTGCTGAACGACATTCTAGCCTATTTAGTCAAATATGGGGAGGATTTAGAAATAACCATAATTCTGAAAAGCAAAAGGAAGACTTACTTTGACCTGACAACATTTGTTAAATGCATCTTACACCTTTAATTTGAAACACCATACACAGGCCTTACATGACTGGGAGAAGGATTAAGATGAATTTTTATTTAGTATGTGAGTGTTTTTAAAAAGACTGTTTAGTCTGAGCTTGAAGGTCATTTTTCTGAAAACATTTTTTAAGGTCATTTTTCTAAAAACATTATTTCCCAGAATCATTTCTTAAAATAACTCTGGATTTGCTAAATGAAAATTGATGCCTGTTAAATTAATTTTGGCGTTTTAGGTCAGAAAAAACAACACTAAACTTTATGTGAAGGAAATGGCATTGTTCGTCTGTTTGGAAACGAACTGGACGCGCACAGTTGTTGCTCGTCATTAAACTACTGCCTTACCAGATGAGGGCCTGTCCGAGTACCGGGTGCAGTAGACCCAGGCAGGCCAGAGCAGAGGCTGGCTCTCCGACGTGGGCGCCCCGGTGCCATTCAGCACCACCACAGAGGAGGAAGTGTTCTCCCCAGCCCCACCGCCAGTCCTCTCCTCGTTTTTCATGCCAGTGCTCCCAGTGCAGACGGAGGAAGCCGCTGCTCCTCGCTGCCGTTGCTCTTTTTGAAACTCGTCAAAGAGGTGGACGAGGCGGAGGACGAAGTGCTGTCACTGCTGCAGTTGGAGTCCTGGCACGGTGTCCTGGGAAGGCTGGGCCTGTTGATCACCGGGTGGACGCGGTCCCGGCCGGAGGTCTGCGCTCTCTCCCGCGGGCCCAGGTCCTGCTCCTTCTTGCAGCCGAAGTCCGGTCGTAAAATGTTGTCGATGAAAAAGTTAGTGGTTCTATGGGCCTGCTGGGCGACCTGCAGAGGCAGTATGGGCGGCGAGGGCATGCTGGGAGATGGAGAGACGCTCTCGCCCTCGCTGCTATCCATGCTGTTCAGATCCCGCTGCTCCTCCATCACTGCCTCTCGGAAGAATGCGCGTCCTGTTCTCTCAGTCCACTTCCACTTTGTGGGCCTGTGTTTGTATCCAAAATGGGACTTCAGGAACCACTAAAACATTGTTATTTTCTCTCTGGAATACTGCTGGCTCGTATAGTTACGTGTAAACTGTAGACATCCTGCTTGCCTAAAGGCGCTCCAGTGCGTCATGGTCGGCGACTTACTATTGCGCACTGCTCTCACACAGCCAATGCTTTTCACCGCTGTATGACAGTCGGGTCTTCACAAAGTCCTCACATCACATCAGCATGCGCCCAAGCACACACTCACACACTCCACACGGAGGCAGCATGAGTAACATCCCAAAGCGCACTTGGCCAATCATCAGCCGGGACACTTTTGGACATGGGGTGACGACGTCCAATAATGTCAGGCGGCCGTGATCCAAGAGGGGAGCTGTGGAGCAGCAAGCAGGCTTCACAGAGAAGCCAAACAAGAGATTATCACTGCTCGAGTCCGCGCCTTCAGCCTTGTTACGGTGTAGCTATCTGTTACATCTACTGCAGAGGAGAAGAACTGAGCGCGCGTTCAAACACACGCACACCATCGCCGTGGCTATCTGCTGGTGGTTTCAGATGAATTTCAGCTGCTCACTTTCAGGTTGTTTCCTTTGACACAGATAGGCACCGCGGGGACATGTTGTACAAAACAACACCATTTGCACTTTTAGTCCCTAATTGGTCAATTTTCTGCTGAAGCTTCCTCCAACTTGTGCGTCCTGCATCCAAATGTCTTACAGAATAGTGTGTGTACATGGTCCACAGTGCAAACTGTGCGGGGCATTTTTTCATAGGGGTGTGTGTGTGTGTGTGTGTGTGTATGTGTGTGTTTTCAGTTCAATTCAGTTTTATTTGTATAGCGTCAAATCACAATAAAAGTCATCTCAGGACACTTTACAAAGTCAGGTCTAGACCTTACTGTCACACACACTGTTGTTGTTACTATTGAGGAAAAACCCAACAAATCGTTTTCACACACACTCACACACACTCACACACACACACCTCGGAGAGGCCCACAGCTGCGTACCAGTCTAAACCACAAACTATCTTCTCCCTCTTTCCTTTGTTTTACTAAAACTCAGCCGTGTGCCTTCAGCGTCGTCCGATGCGTCCATGTAAAGTGCACACACATCCAGTTTGTACCCCCCCCCGCCTTTTTTGAGGTATAGCCACCATTGTCATTCTCATCGTATTGTTTTCCAGGCCGAGCTCTAGAAAAACGCAGTCTTATCTCTGCACTGCCGGTGGATAATTTATAGGTTTTCATTCCTCCTTTTTCCTCATAATCCCGTGGACGTTTATCACCTGACTGCGAGAAAAAAGTGGCTCAAAGCCTCTGTCGGCGTTACAGCGGCAACACTTCATCAAAGTGGGCGCAAAGTGGGCCAACAGAATAATATAAAGCAGCACAATGGACAGGCATGCCGCAAAGGAGCGTTTTCAAGGTGTTAATAGAAAAGCTGCTGTGCAGCTCGGAATAGAGACAAACTGCACAAAGAAACATCTTAATTGGGTTTTTTTTTACCTGTAAAGGTGTTTATTTGTTTTGATGTGAATACGCAGCCCTGACTGCGCCTCTTACACCAGGTTCCACGGAGAAATTCACTAGAACACTGTGTTATAGGCTAATCGATCCTTATCTGATATTCCAAGATGCCTTAATGATTTTTGGTGTCAGTCACTTGAGGAGTCTTTGTGGCGTTATTCTCACGGTGTGTTTACTCTGTGGGGACTGATGTTGTTGCTGTGTACGATGCTTCTTTACTTATCGTCCAGTAAAAATCCTGTATTATCTGTTTTATGGTGCTACGCCTGCGCTTGTATTTTTTCATTGTGTTGTTCTTGTGTGCGCCCGGAGGCTAAATATGCCACCACTTTATATTAACCTGTTGTAAAGGACTCTGCTGTCTGTCAACACAACAGCCTAACAATCAGTTACTATAACCTGCCACCCCGCATATCAAACTGTCAAACAATTAAGCAGACAACAGATTCTCCTCCCGCTGCTTTCACTTACACTGCACGTAAATCCCGTCAGACTGGGATAATCCACTTTACACACCACACACACGTTTGTGTGTGACGTTCTGCGTCCCCTGTCCCCTTACTGCAAGGGGCTAGGCTATACGGCTAACTAAATACCTAAGCCTGACTCTGGGCCTAACTGGAACCTGAACATAAACCAGTAAGGCTGTGACCAACATGTCCCCACTGTCCTCACACCCAGTGTATAAAAGTCAAACGGGTTCTCACAAACACACGATGTACTCAGTTAAACACACACATATAACTAGCAGAAATATTTATTAGGACAGAGGCAGGCTATGGTGGGACATTATTTAAAAAAAAGGTAAGAATCTTCAAAATGTAATTATTATAAAATAAATGTTTGTGGTATAAAAACTGGTTTTAACTAAATAAGCACTTGATAAATGTACCTTTTTATTTTCTTAAGGACAATAACAATACATATGATCACACTCTAGCATCAGCCTCTGGTAACCTTCATTTAGGCCTAATGGATTTCAAAATGCTAAACTGTAATTTTATGACAAGCGGGAGTTAAGCCTCTGAAGGGGCTCTGAGCCTGTTTAGACTGTTGAACGGGGACAATGAGGCGGCAGGTCGGACGGTCTCAAGTAAATGGGAGAGAACAATGTTCAGGAAAGTGTCCAACCATGTGGACAAAGGTCCGAGTACAAAAATAAGCCACCAAAGCTAAGATAATCTGAGCATATATGATTAAACTGTGGACCTTAACTTGACTTCCCCACCCTTTTAGCCAGATAAAGTCTAATGACTCTGTCAGAAAACCTGGCACTAGACGTAGAGAGCAACCAAATGGGAGGGCTGTAGAAGAGCTGTGTGTTTTAAAAGGAAACAAATCATTTGTTGTTATAGGTTCTTGTCTATATTGGTGGAGGTTGTTGTTATAGCAGGTCTGCTGTTTTGTTTTATTTTGCTGATACATCAGTGACCGGATCTGAAAAATGAAAAGAAATAAACAAAACTAGTTTGTAACAATTTCTGGAACACTGAGCGACATTACCACAAATTAGTTAAATTCATAATTACAAAATCCAAACTACAAAAGGTTCAGGTGATCAGATTGGTGGCAAAGTAGAGACAAATAGAAGAAAAAGTAGCTTTTGGAAGTTCAAAACAATGGTTGTAGGACCCCTCTTGATGAAATGGTGATGCTGCAACTGGTGAAATCAGACTCAGCTCTCATTATGATCATCACATGAGCGCCTCACAGTGCATTTCCATAAGCTTAACACAATGAAGCAGCCCAGTACTTCAAGGAGCACACAGAGAAAATTATATCAGAGTGACATCTAGTGGTCAACTAGAGTAGCAAGTGGAAAAGGAAATCCCCACCGACAGCACACAACTGTAAGTGAAGCACCTATGTCGAAGTATGTGGACACACAGAGGGAATGTGACTCGGGCTGATACACACAGTGCAGAGAACACATGTACAGGATGAGACAGACATACAGCAAAACAAGGACACTGAGTAAACAAACAAGCAAACATATCCCCTCATCGTATTTTTGTACCCTTGCCACAGACTCTCTTTCTGAAACTGTTCTTGATGTAATGATTAGTTACTTGTGATTTAGTCTGCATTGCAAGCAAAAGCTTTTAAAGAGACCACCAGAGTTGCTACAGCAGCTTTTAGTGGTTTTGGGATAGCAACCGTTACTCATGAAACCTAAAGAGCCAAACATTTGCATTATACTAGGTGAAATTATTTATGAAAGCTTTACCATTTTAGGTAAATTTATACCATGGTATAACATGTCCCAACTGTGGTATGGTGTCAAGACTGACGGCTTTCATAATCACGTGTTCCTCTTATAGGTTTCCTGAACTGCTAAAACCCTAGACTTCATTCTCCAAACAAAACTGTTAGCTGCAAAAACTCATTTATCAAATGAATCACTCTTTTTGCAAGACTTTAAACAATGTCCACCTAGTCTAGGAACTAATATGGAGCGCTACATTAGAAATGATTAGGGAAGTACTTATGAATGACTCAGCTTATTCCTCATGCATTACTCATGTTCCTCACTCGTTCCCTGGAAACACATTTTTGTCTAGTGTTACGTAAAGTGTTACCGCTCATGCTTATATCTGCACAATAAGATGCTACTGTTGTAATGCCGTCCTTAGTATAAGGAAAACCTAGCATATAAGCCAGCGGCATGTTGAATATGATGCTGTATTCCAAGCTACCTGGGAGAGCTACTTTCCTGTGGCTAGTATCAAAGAGCAGCTTAATATCTATTTTCAGTTGTTTAAAGATAAGATTCATTTCAGATATAAGGTCCTCTACTGAACTGCATATAAGTTCTTGGGCGTGTCAAGGTGCAGGCCATCTTAAGTCCCACTGACTGTTTAACGCACTTGTTGCTTTTCTTCTTTTCTTTTATTCTATCTACCCCCCCCCAACCTGCCGAGGCAGAATGCCGCCCACCAAGAGCTGGGGTCTGTCAGCGGTTTCTTCTGTTAAAGGGAGTTTCTCCTCCCCGCTGTCACCAGGTGCAGCTCAGGGGGATTTGTTGTGCCTTTCATAATAATAATGATAATAATATCTAGGCCTTACTATGCACAGTGTCCTGAGACGACTTTTGTTATGGTTTGGTGCCACACAGACAAATAAATTGAATTGAATTTGCTTCAGCACAAGGTAAGCCTGTGAACATGGTGGGTGGAGCAGTAACAGAACAACTTGACAATATTAGAATTTCACCAGGCATAATGGTGATAAACAAAAGTATATGGTGATATATAAAACATGCTAAGCTTCATTTGTGTTACTGTTTTTTAAGGCCTTCTTGCATCTGAGCTTAAAATAGCAACTTCCTCATTTTACCAACCAGCTGTACTGCCCAAGTCTTTTGCTGATAAATTTTGGCCACCTCAGCTACAAATCAGATGGACTTCCTTCTTCTACTCCAGTTCATGTCTATTAGAGTGCTGTCATGGGAGGGGTCTGTTGCAATCTGGGGAAAATTAAGTTTTCCTCACATCACACCCCACATCTTATAAGGTTTCCTGAAGTAGGAAGTGACAGTGACTTCAGCTCTAGAGAAGATGGAGACATCATTGGATGAGACCATGGATCGAGTCTCATACACCCAGACTAACCCACTGTTTGACATGTCTGTCAGCAAGAGCGATCTTTACCATTTCCAGCCTGATGGTGAGTACTGAGGTAGGATGTGATCATGGTAAATATATTCATTTGCTGTTCAGACTTGAGAGAGAAAGCATGGTAACCAGGTTCACAAGTGTTTTATGTTAGAAAACATCCGGTTAACAAACCTATGAGACATTAAATTACTATATGGGCATTACAATTAAGAAATGTATTTGAAACTGAACCATTTGCAGACAAGCTACAGTGCAGCTTATTGGCATGAGGATAATAAATCACAGCATCTAGTCGTGAAAACATAAATGCATGGATTCAATTCTTCATGCTCTGCATACATTTCTTGACATAAAAGATTAAAAGTCACATAGACTTCTGCACTTTTTTTGAAAAACTAATAATAAAGGCCTCATTGAACATTTGTTGGTAATCTAGACAGTGAGTGTACTGTAGACACAGAAACTGAACCTGAGAGAGAAAAGTATGGCATACAACAAAAGTCACTGGTTGGAATCAGTCTGAGGACATCGTGGTTACAGGGTGTTCACGTTTGTCAGGGTAGAAATAGCTCATACTGTCTCTTGGACAGTTCCATATCACGTGTTCCAAAGTGCCCAGAGGGCCCGGAGCGCAAGATGCACAGTGTGGGCTGGGGCTCAGACCCATCAGGAATCTCTGCTGGGGTGTCACCTACACCACGTGGCAGAACCTAAAGTTAATACACTGCTAGTTCACTAACAGGGATGTGCCCTCACTAAGTCTGAGTGAAAGTATAAGGATATATATTTTCATTGAGACTGGCAGCTGACATGTTCCACTGGTTGTCTGTATGTATTATGCTCACTGGTTACTGTCTGTTTCCTGAAATTACTTTAACAAGACCTAGGTTTGCTGCAGGACACTAATCTCACTCCGGTGATTTAAATGAATATTTGTGTTTCTGTTTCAGATCTGAAGCCAGCAAGGCCCAAACAACGGTGGTGTTTTAGTATGATTGTTTTATACATCATCTTGCAGACAGCCCTGAATGCCTTTCTCCTCTATAAAGGTACAGCTGCACACTGACATTGTTTACGTATAAATGTGATGTATAGGGGAAAGATTATTTCTGTACCAATTTGTCTTTTTTCTTGTTTTTAGTAACTACACCTCAAACTGTAAGTGTGAAGTGAATAAAGGTGCTGATGAAACATTTTTGTTATTTTTCACGTCTCTTTCCCAGTTTTCTCGATGGAGTCTTCACTGTCAAAGCTCAGCTCAGAGAAACTGATGTCACTTCCTCTGGGTGGAGGACAGGGTGATGGCAGCCTCCAAACACTGGTCCACAACAACAGTCAAGAAGCCAGAAGCCTGAGAGACCACCTGGGGGTCCTGCAGAGCAAGGTTCTCCTGCCCTGTCAGCTTGTTGAGCTCTATATAGATTTAGTCCAGTTTAGCAAATGCTTGGTTTCTGATTCAGTTTAGTCTTTTTTTTTTCCATCACTTTTGTCATCCAGTGTAACAGTGACAAAAGGTAACTGTGATGAAACTGGAATAGTTACCATAAATAAATTAGATTGCTACAAATAACATTAGATTTTTTTCTGAGAGTGAGATAAGAAGATCCACACCAACCTCCTGTTTGATTGATTGATTGATTGATTGATTTATTCTTTCAAACATGCAGAACAGAACAATGAACAAATGACAATAACACACATGATTTCACATATCCAACCAATGCTAATTCATTTCACATATCCAACCAATGCTAATTCATTTCACATATCCAACCAATGCTAATTCATTTCACATATCCAACCAATGCTAATTCATTTCACATATCCAACCAATGCTAATTCATTTCACATATCCAACCAATGCTAATTCATTTCACATATCCAACCAATGCTAATTCATTTCACATATCCAACCAATGCTAATTCATTTCACATATCCAACCAATGCTAATTCATTTCACATATCCAACCAATGCTAATTCATTTCACATATCCAACCAATGCTAATTCATTTCACATATCCAACCAATGCTAATTCATTTCACATATCCAACCAATGCTAATTCATTTCACATATCCAACCAATGCTAATTCATTTCACATATCCAACCAATGCTAATTCATTTCACATATCCAACCAATGCTAATTCATTTCACATATCCAACCAATGCTAATTCATTTCACATATCCAACCAATGCTAATTCATTTCACATATCCAACCAGTTCCAGTCGGAGACAGATTGAGGACATGCTGGACAGGGTGGCCAGGCTGGGGCACAGGCTTAGAGAGGGGTGCCACATTTTGAAATCCATTAACCATTCTATGAAAGTGTTTATTTTGTGTAAAAAAAAGAGCCAGACGTTATGCTTTCTTTAGCCAACTTTGGCTGCGCTCCATATTTCCTCATCGCTGCTGCACAGTGGTTAAATAAGGATAATAATCACCTTTATTGGCCAAGTATGTTACACACAAGGAATTTGTTTCCGGTATAGAACCAAGGCAGCCATCTGTGGTGCCAACTCCACCGATGGCTCTAACCATCGGGGGCACCTGGGGAGTTCAGTGTCTTGCCCAAGGACAATTCAACACGTGGACTGCAGGCACAGAGATTCAAACTTCCGACCCAACTCAAATGCAAGACATTTATTTACTCCACTTTCAGTCTGAACACATCTTTAGAAGTGTTGCTAGATGTATTTTAGCAAATCTAGAGACACTGGATATCATGCCATGAAAAGTATCTAGCACACAGGCTTGACACTGATATCGGTCTTCTCATATCACTCTTAAAAAGAAACCTAATAAATATATTTTCCTAAAATGTGATACATACATTCCTTGGTCAAAATGAGGAGTAAAGTTGAAAGCAAATTAAATTAAACTGAGTCAGAAATGTCAGTTACATAGCAATGTCTATCTAAGGTTTGCTAACATACCATACCAGGCCAAGTACTGTAAGGCTACAGCAGCAAAGACCCTCATGTACTGAACAGACCAGGGGTGTGTTCTATTGCTTATGGGTAAAGTCTTGGTTTGAAGTTCACTTTCATTAATTTGATATTTTCAGCTTTGCGTTAACATGACAGTCATGACTATGTTGTCTGCCATGACAACAGGTCAACAGCTTGTGTGGAGAGGAGGGTCAGTTGGACAGGCTGAGGGCTGACTTTGGCCTGCTCAACCGCAGCACTTACAACCTGGAGGGCAAACTGACAACCATAAGCCTCAAACCAGGTAGGTGTGCATGTTCTCCTGTGTGCATATGTGTGTACATTTGTTAGCAAAATTAGCAATATTTACCACAAAGACCGTTTTTTTGGTTGTTCCCTTTTGAGGGCTTTAAGGTTCAAGCCTTAGAAATATGTTCGCCTCAGTCCACTGGTCAGAGGACTGTGGTGTAGACAAGTTTGCTTTAACCCTAACACATAAAAAAATAGCCAGAACATTAAAATTTTTTGGAACTTAGATGTTTATTAAACCTTTGAACAAAATCCAAAAGAAAATTCAAGATTCAAGATCTGGATATTTATCATTGATGCATAGACAGACAGTCCAGGCATATGGGAATAAATGTGCCATATTATTTTGTTTATGTATTTTTTATTTTTTTGTAACACATTTGATACATGAGGCATTTTTGGCACCTTTTTCGCTCAGAAACTCGTAGCAAATATGATACAAATGGTTTTATGGGGTTAAAACATGTTCATTCTTCACCAGTTTATGCTCGTCATTGTGTTCTACAGTGGGTTCATAGAGTCCACTGGGCTAAAGGTAAACGGGCTCGTACTTTTCCCAGCACTGATCCAAATTGTGTTAAATGACATCTAGGCCCGGCTGGCCTCACTCAGGCATGCCATCTAGCTACTTTGGAGGTCTGTTTTTGCCTCACTCTCGACCATCACATCTGGCGGCGTCTCTCCATCACCATTCGCTGGTCTCTGTGGTGTTTTACCCTCTGACCACACACAACCACCTGTAGCCTTTTAAACTCTGTTAGTAAGGTGTGTTATTCTGATGAACTGGAAGAGTCTTCATTCCCCCTCACGCCCACTGGATAAAAAGATACTCTGTCCTTCAAAAATTAGAAAAAATTTAACACTCCCTTCAAGGTACTAAATTAAAATGTTCTAAGAATTGGCTTCTATTCTTAGAGCACGTTGGGTTTCTTAAGCTGGATGTTGTCCCTACAGACTGAGTGACTCCCTGTATTGTGTTGTACTTACTGTATCTATATCTTGCACCTGC